TGCCATCAACACTGCCTTTATGTATTCTTTTCTCTGCGTCTGTGCTTCTTTTCACAGTGGAGCATTTAGCTTTTAGCCAACAGCTGAATGTTAATTTTTTTTAATGAATGTTAAGCTTCTCCCACTAATAGTTTGTAGGTGAGTTAGTCAGTTCATCTCAACTCTCCTCAGTCGACCCTACGACATGTATAGCAGGCTATAGAAGACCAATTAAGGTTTAGATGTCAAAAACATATATATTTTCCTTAGCAACAGACTATAATGAATCACAAACATTCAACCCCTAAACCCCCCGGCCCCCCCCCCCGCCCCCCCCCCCCCCCCCCCCCCCCCCCCCCCCCCCCCCCCCACCCCCCCCCCCCCCCCCCCCCCCCCCCCCCTCTCGAAGAAAACAATTCTTGGCTTTAAAAATGCAATGTTATCACAAAGGCGTTTGAAAACGGATATCCAGGAAACGCAAGAAAATCAGAACAGTTGCTGACTGACCGACTGACTTTTTATTCCACCAGGACAAAACACTTAGCGATAAACACCCAGTGACACAGAGTGCCACCATTTGGATGAGGATCACCAATGGAGAGGTACCGGAAACCCCTGACTGACTCACTGACTGACTTTCTACCCCACCAGGGCATCAGACAAGCAATAAACACCCGATAACACAGAGTGCCACCATGTGGGTGAGGAACACCGTGGGGAGGTCCCAGAAACCGCGTTCAGCCTTTAGGCCACATTTATGGGCAGGCTATAATGCGGCCCCTGGCAAAAGCCAGAGTAGGGCTTCAAATAACGAAAAATCTCGTCCTAAAAAGGACGAGAAGTATTATGAAGCCTTTTTCAACCGTTGGGTTATATTTGGTCCCCGCGGCAGCAGCCAGGGTAGGGCTTTAAAAATAAAAAATAAAAACAAATTCGTTCCACGTGGGGACGGGTTTATGGTTCCAATGAGGTAGACACACGATTGCTTCCGCTAGGGAGATAACTAGCTACTGAACAACATCATGTCTCGCAAAATATCCCTCATTTCTTTTAATAAAGCTATATTTTAACGGATCCGATAATTTTTTTTGCCCTACCTGTTTTTCGTGGATTCACGAACATTCCCCCGTCGGGTCCTGACTGAGCGGGACTTCTTTGAAATAATGATCTTGGCTCCCAGGTCCAGCCACTCTTAAATGGATGCTAGGTAAATGATGGGATGATGTTGACAATATCAAACACCGAGTGCTGATTAGTTTATAAATTTTAGGTCTAGCCCTAGATCTCCAAATCGTCTGAGGGTATGAAAAAGAAGGCCGTTACTTTTTTTTTTACTTCACTGACGTTTGTTATATCTGGCTACAATTAATCAAATCCACTGTCCCCCGCACAAACACACCGAGCTTCGTTTCTTCCAACAGAAGCAGGGTCTGGTGCTGATCGCTCCGGTTGTGTGGGCAGTAAGTTGGCACAGTCCTCCGATACATTTAACGTCATTTCTTCTTTTTTTCTTCACGTTTCCTGGGTGTAAACTCCGGTTGAACGTTTTGGTCAATAGTCTACCTCCGGACTTTAACCTTGTTCCACAACCTGAGTGCTACGTGTACATCCGTTTTACAAATCTGGGCTGTTTCTCCCCTCCCCCCCCCCCCCCCACACTATTAGTTTCATGCCTCTCAGACAAATGCACTCCGTCTTCGAAGGACGCCCCCCAAAAGTCGACTTATACGACATGCTTATTGGGGTAGCAGTGGTTCTATTCTTGTTTTCCCAACACTGGGGCCTCTGATCATCATATCACGATAAGATTGAGTAGCACATGTTATTTGTTATCGAACGTTGTATTTGCTTGCCTTATTCTAATATATGTTAAATACTATAATTTTACACACATGTAGGAGCTTGCATACATATAACATATGGACGAAACACGTCAACATATATTGTCTAACATACTTGCACACGGAGACCATAAACATCAACAAATAATGTCTAACACACATGCACATCGAGACCACATACATCAACATGTACAGTCTAACGTACACGTCTACAGCGATCACATATATCAACACACAGTGTCCAACGTCCTAGCGCGCACACACACACACACACACACACACAAACTGCATACACCAACACGCAGTGTCTAACGTACTAGCACACAGAGACAACATACAGCAGTTCACACGTTCTAGTGTACTAGCACATAGAGACCACATGCATCGACTCGTACTGTTTAATATACACCGACATATAGATACCACATATATCAAAATATGCTAACATACATGCAAACATAGAGACCGCATACATCAATACATGCTGTCTAACATACATGTACACAGAGACTACATACCACAACACATACTTTGTAACATAAACGTACACAGTGAGACCATATACATCAAAACGTATTGTTTAACATACATGCACACAGGAACCACAAACATCAGCACATACTAACATACATGTACATCAACAGCTCTCAAATCCCTCTCTGTGGCATATCTGAAACCAGTCCTGGGTACAATACTTCCCAAGGCTCTCAGTGAAATCTGCGAGGTCAGTGTTTTGTATGAATGTATGTCAGTGGACAGCTGAGGCAGCTGAAATATATGCAGTGTGCTTTTCCATATCCCCCCCTCCCCTCTCTATCTATATATATATATTTATATACGCATATGTATGTTGTTTGTTTTAGTATTCAGAAGCCATGAGTTGTTAACCCTTAGGCTCGGTCTTGATTCCATTGTAAATACCGTAAATCTGGGAGAAATGTGGCTTTTCTGCCTACCCCCGAGAGTGAACCCGGACCACTAGGAGTTCGTCACCCGCTCACCGCGCAATCCGGTTTAGCCAACTACGCTAGAGAGACGGGCACGCATATGTATATACATGTGTGCGTGCGAGTGTGTGTGTATATTTATATATATATATGTGTGTGTGTATGTATGTATATATATATATATGTGTGTGTGTGTGTGTGTGTTTAAATGTCTGAACCTAGTGGAAACAGGCGACCTAGTGTGAAATCTTTGGTAATATTTGTGTTGTACATATTTCTTCGCATTAAGTACATATAACAATTATTTAAATTATTACTATTATTATAATTATTATTGTGCTCAAATTAAAGCCGTTTTTTTTAAAGCAAGAAATTGTTATAGTTGTTCAACTCATAAACACATATGCAAACCATTTTCGAAAACTGCTAGTTAGATCGCAACGATACTTTTTTTGCATGCAGCCTTGGAATATCCATGACGGTGAGGAAAATTTTTTTTTTCATTAAAGAAGATTATCGAAAAGATCAAAGGAACTGGCTGAGGTTCAACATCCTGAGCATCTATGGACTAAAGAATACAACATTTTTGGCATCATGGATTATATTAGGGCTGCATGCAAAACATTGCTGAGATCTAACTGGCAGTTTTCGAGAAAATGGCTTGCAAATGTGTTCATGAGATGTTGAACGAACTATAGTTGACTTGTAACCAAATATGCTGTGGTTGAAGTATCTTCTGTTGATGCTCAGCAATGTCTTTTTATCCCTACCAACAACCAGAAGAGACCTGCCGACCCCATTGAATATCTGGCCAGGTATCTCTACCAATGGGCGGACTGCGAGCTCTACTATTACGAGAAGGCGATCTTTGCTAAGGTAAAGTTACCGTGCGTTAGCTCTTTCAGCATCAAATATTTGAACATAAGTTTCGGTCGCTCTAAAGATAATCTGATATTCTTACTGTCTTCTATTATAGATAGAAATTACTTAACAGTTTTCATCTGCATAATTAAGTTTTGCCTGTCCCAAAGTGTCTCTGTTCAGCTCTGTCGAACTACGGTGTTTATTGTTTTTATGCTCAGTTCCTTAAGCACTGCTTGGAACTGAAAGGGTTAACAGCAGCTGGTCTAATGGTCGAAATGCTGAGCTCTCACGCGGGGTTCCCAGGTTTGAATCCCCGATAAAGTGATGGATGTTGTTTCTAGAGGGGGCAACAATAAACATCCTACCCTCCTGTACAGTTCGTGGCGACTGCACTAGCCAAGTGGCCCTCGTTTATCTGGTCGAACATTAGCCGGCAAAGGGTAATTTATGCGGTAATGACTGTTTAACAACAGTCATCCTAACATCGTTACCTGATGTAAGCACAGCAAACAATTGTGACGCAGAAGGCAGGTTAGCAGAGTGGCTAGACGCTTTTTCAGTCGGTCTTGAGGTCTCAGATTTGAATTCGCGTTGATGCAGATGTTCTTTGAGTGACCTAGTGATCCTGGATCTGCCCATCAGATAATACTTAAAAGCAAGTAAGGTCAAAGATCCTGTTCCACGCCTTCAGACGTATCGGGCTAGACCTGTATTTTATAGACCAATCAGCACCAGGCGAATTATGTGGTCAACATCATGCCAGTCGCCTTTACTTTCCAGGACTGTACCTTCTACCCCTCAAAGCTGGTTCGACATGGGAACCAAGGTTATTAAAGTGCGGATCCGTCAGGAACTGAAACTTCGACAATGGGGTCAGCAGGCGAGCATCTAGCAGGAAGTCATGTCCCGGAAGTCATGTCCCAGAAGTCATGTCCCGGAAGTCATGTCCCGGAAGTCATGTCCCGGAAGTCATGTCCCGGAAGTCATGTCCCGGAAGTCATGTCCCGGAAGTCATGTCCCGGAAGTCATGCCCCGGAAGTCATGCCCCGGAAGTCATGCCCCGGAAGTCATGCCCCGGAAGTCATGCCCCGGAAGTCATGCCCCGGAAGTCATGCCCCGGAAGTCATGCCCCGGAAGTCATGCCCCGGAAGTCATGCCCCGGAAGTCATGAAGCCCCCGGAAGTCATGCCCGGAAGTCATGCCCCGGAAGTCATGCCCCGGAAGTCATGCCCCGGAAGTCATGCCCAGGAAGTCATGCCCAGGAAGTCATGCCCAGGAAGTCATGCCCAGGAAGTCATGCCCAGGAAGTCATGCCCAGGAAGTCATGCCCAGGAAGTCATGCCCAGGAAGTCATGCCCAGGAAGTCATGCCCAGGAAGTCAGTCATTGCCCAGGAAGTCATTGCCCAGGAAGTCATGCCCAGGAAGTCATGCCCAGGAAGTCATGCCCAGGAAGTCATGCCCAGGAAGTCATGATCCGGGAGGCGTGCCCCAGAAGTCGTGCCCCGGAAGTCGTGCCCCGGAAGTCATGTCCCGGAAGTCACGCTCCGGAAGTCATGCCCAGGAAGTCATGCCCAGGAAGTCATGCACAGGAAGTCATGCCCAGGAAGTCATGCCCAGGAAGTCATGCCCAGGAAGTCATGCCCAGGAAGTCATGCCCAGGAAGTCATGCCCAGGAAGTCATGCCCAGGAAGTCATGCCCAGGAAGTCATGCCCAGGAAGTCATACCAAGCAAATCATGCCCATGAAGTCAAGGCAGTTTGATGTAATGGCCAGGAAGTCAAGGCAGTTTGATGTAATGGCCAGGAAGTCAAGGCAGTCTGATGTAATGCCCAGGAAGTCAAGGCAGTTTTATGTAATGACCATGAGGTCAAGGCAGTTTGATGTAATGACCAGGAAGTCAAGGCAGTTTGATGTAATGACCAGGAAGTCAAGGCAGTTTGATGTAATGACCAGGAAGTCAAGGCAGTTTGATGTAATGACCAGGAAGTCAAGGCAGTTTGATGTAATGACCAGGAAGTCAAGGCAGTTTGATGTAATGGCCAGGAAGTCAAGGCAGTTTGATGTAATGGCCAGGAAGTCAAGGCAGTTGGATGTTATGGCCAGGAAGTCAAGGCAGTTTGATGTAATGGCCAGGAAGTCAAGGCAGTCTAATGTAATGGCCAGGAAGTCAAGGCAGTTTGATGTAATGCCCACGAAGTCAAGGCAGTTTGATGTAATGCCCAGGAAGTCAAGGCAGTTTAATGTAATGCCTAGGAAGTCAAGGCAGTTTGATGTAATGCCCAAGAAGTCAAGGCAGTTTAATGTAATGCCCAAAAAGTCAAGGCAGTTTAATGTAATGCAGAGGAAGTCAAGGCAGTTTGATGTAATGCCCAGTAAGTCAAGGCAGTCTAATGTAATGCCCAGAAAGTCAAGGCAGTTTAATGTAATGCAGAGGAAGTCAAGGCAGTTTGATGTAATGCCCAGTAAGTCAAGGTAGTTTAATATAATGCCCAAGCAGTCAAGGCAGTTTGATTATAATGCCCAGGAAGTTTGATGTGATACCAACAACATCGAGTACCGATTAGTCTATAAAAAATATGTATCTGGCAGCAGATGTCTTCTTTTTCTTTGCGTTCACCAGCTGTACACTCGTGCGGAAAGTTCTGGTTGCTCGTCCACTCCTGAACTGCAGTCCTGCTCCAGAACCTGAGTGTTGCGTGTGCATCAGTTTTACAGATCTTAATCTTTTGAAAACAGACTGTTGGTTCCTTGCCTCTCCGGCAGATGCACTCAGACTTCAAAGGAAGCTCCCCAATTAGTCGACTCTTACGACATGCTTTTGGGGAGGCAGTGGGTCTGTTCTTGTTTTCCCCACAATGGGGCCCCGGAACCCACACGGGGGGCCGCAGATGTATTTTGCCTGGGCGGCCTAGCAAGAAACATCGACATTTTTAACTTGTTACAACTGCAACACTGTAGACCCGTAGGGAACATTAACTAGGGTAGCCTGAAATTTACTGTCCCCTGCCGTGGAACTCAACTACAAACACCAAGTATCTAAAATTGTTTCCGCTGTATTCTGCAGAGAAGTTTTACATGCTTGAAAGCACACAACATAAAGAAACAGTTCGAAAGTTGAACTGATCATCGACTTCTTTGCACACGGTTTTATACCACCTGGTTGGATCTTTGATCCTCTAATCGTCTGCAACCTTGTAGATCCAGCGACAATCTTTATCACTTTCCGTAATGACAGCATTCATATTCTAATAAACCAAGCTGGGTAAAACTAACGTTGGTCTCCCCAGATCCCAACCATTTACACACTAGCTCCTTTCTGACTGGTAGACCTTGAGCCACGTAGCCTTATCACAAGATTACGGGGGTTTTCCGCAATGCCGTTGATATCGCGTGTTGCATATTTCAGCACGCCAGCGCTGTTAACACCCCGAAAACATGGACAAACTGGGTCTAAACAACCCTCCTAGAAAGGGCTGCAACTTATGTCACAGGCATTCTCTTTCTCAGTATAAAAATGTAAATGCAAGACAACCCAGAAAGCAAACAATAGAGTGGCACACCCGTAACCTGCAGGAAAGTAGACCAGCCCAACAAACTTATACATGAAACGTGACCTAATTTGTTTGGGAAGAGCAACGTTAGTTTTACCCCAAGATTTTATCTGTCAGCTCCCATTAGTATTAATTATGCCAGAGGCCAGAGGTCAAGGTGTGCGAGAGTGCACAATAATATTTATAATAAGGCCAACACAGGTAGAGTGTAAATGCCTCGTTGGAATGAAATTTGTGACTATCACAGATGTTGCGTCGAGATCCACGTGAAATCACAAACAGAAGAAGACATGATAATAAATTGAAAAACAAATGTTAGTTAAGGTGATAATTTCCATTGTTCTCTTTCGTGTCTCTGGCCTCAGTCGACTGTAATGCCTAAAAAATTAGGTTAGAAACTAGTGGGTCGTCAACTATGTGTATCTCACAATACATCGCAAAAATAAAAGGAAAAAAAATTAGCAACAGCTTATACTGAGTAATTTCCACTACTTCGAGAGTTTATAGCACTTTGACATTTCGTTTGGATTACGGTTGTTAGAGCAATGTCGTCTTTTAGTCAGAAGTTAGTAAGGGATCTACTTCAGGACATGTGTAGACATCGTTTTAATATTGCCTAAAAGAATTTAAAACCAAAAACGCAATTGAAAAAAAAAAATTACTTAAGCTGGATAATATCTCCAAAAATGGTTTACAAAAAAATTATTATTAGCCTTAAACGCTACAGATCTACTTGATAAGTTCATTTAAAACTAAATAGATTTTTCTTGTTTTATTTCGCTCGAAAATATTAATAAAACATGGTCGGCTGGCACAGCGATTGCAACAGTGCTCCATATATCTTATGTGCAGCTGTGTATCTCGGACATATGCGAAGGTATACATGTCGCTGGTACTGTGACATGTACAGTGCCATACAGAAATTTTTTTTTCTAACTGCTGTCATTCGGCTTAAGGATATAGTGAACAATGTACAAGTATAGAGATATAAATGAAATGCTCTTTCTATTGAATGTTGTGGATAATGTTGAGTGAAACCTGGGGTGCTGCAGCTGCACGGTACCTATGCACAACCGCCACTGCGTCTGAGGTGTGGTATTTCCCTTAGTAGATACAGTTGCTTTTCTTTGTCCTCACTAAAAAGGACGGGCCTTTTCCAGTCAAGATTCCTAATCTGACCTTACGCTGATTTTTTTTTTTTTTTTTCAAAATACGGGCACTCGTTGTCTTCCATTAAAGGAACTTCAGTTGCTGGCACTACAACTAGATAAGGAAACATCACGACGGCTAGCCAGAACAGATGCTCTCAAGAGGGAAACACTTGCCTTAAAGGTGACTCTTGTAGTTTGAGAATATCTACTGTATATTATATAGTCACTTATTTAGAATGTAAATCATTTGGCTAGACATCTATACAGTCCCATTTTGATTTAAAAATTAGATGTGCAATTCGATCTTAACTTGGAAAATTAGAATTAAAAATCCCGTCTAAACACAAATAATTACAAGAAAACTTCGCATTCTAGCTTGAAGAATTAGAAGTCAGCTTGAAGCAGAGTACTCGTCAGATGTCGTTAAGGTTATGTCCCGGCTAGTTAGCGTCCTGATTAGTTTCTCCAGGGTGTACTAGGATGTGTTGGGAAAATGATCAGGCAGATAGACAAGCTGGCTGTGCCCCACTTGGTGGTAAATTGATTATGGCTAGCTAGGTTTTTTAAGGCTCTTATAGAAACGAGTAAACAGTGTTAAGGCGCACACAAAAAATAAAAAAATAATAATAACATCTCAATATGAAAAGAATATTGCAACGAGGAGTGTCTAGAGGCACTGACCGACACTGACCGCTAAAGGAAGAAGCTAGACGGACATACATTTACACTTTTACTGGTGCAATCAGAATTGGAACTATGCGATTGCTGCTGAAAATGAGGGCGGAGCGTTATGGGAATGCCCGAGTACTATGACGTCGGTGCTTAACTCATAACTCATCTGCTCAAAATCATATGTATGTTCATACTTTCAATAATCGCCAGCTTGGCGTGGGTGGAATTTTTCGTTCTTACGGTTGCTCTAAAAAGTGAAGTTTTCATCAATTAGTTAGTTAATTATTTTATTAATTAGTTAGTTTATTAGGTACTTAGCTAATGTATCAGGTAGTTAAGTAGTTTGTCAGATAGTTATTTGTCATTTAGTTAGTTAATTAGTTTATAGTAGAGGAACGGCTCTCCGAACGTATAAGACAGATGGGCTGTCATGCGAGAGACACAGGTTCAAATCCTTGATAAGATTATGGCTTGTTTCCTCACGGAGGCAGAGATAAAGTGCTAGTCCGCACAGTGAGTGGCGACTACACAAGCCATACGGCCCTGAAATCTTGCGTTCCTTTTTCTTCCGGCAGTGCTGGGAGATTTTTAATTTGTTTACTAATTAGTTAGTTTTTTATTTGTTAGATAGTTTATTTCTCAGTTAATTACTTTAGTAGTTTATAAATAGGTTCGTTCATTAGACAGTTAGCTAGTTAGTTTGTTAATCAGTCAATCAATGAGTCAGTCAGTTATGCAGTAAGTGAGTTGGTTGGTTTTTTGGATAGTCGACAAATCATCATTGCTGCTGTCAAACCATTCAGTTGATAATTTGCGCAAGATCCCCAAATCGGTACATATCTAAGCGTTTGGCAATTGCCAAAAGTGAACCATATGTTTACATTATTTCTCAACATAATCACTAATTACTTGAACACATTTTTAGCATGATTAATAATTACAGAGTCATAGAAGTATCTGTAACCATTCATTACCGCCTGCCTGCAGTTCATCGTCAGTTTCAAACGGCTAAGATGCCAGCCATATCTTTAGGTGCATGAAAATGTGATAATCTCTTGGCGCCAGATCGGGTCTCTAGGACTGATGGTCAACAATGTCCCAGTGAAATATTTACAACAATTGAGCAGTTCAATCTGCGACGTGAGGTGGAGCATTATCACGTAAAAGCACAATTCTAGAGAGCAGTAACCCACGTCTTTTGTTTTTGGATAACACACAGTTGTTTGTATCCAAGGTTTCTTGTCATAATGCCGTAAAGCAGTACACGTGAAACTTCCGGAAACTCCACAGGCAACGCAGAAATTGTAAAACAACGATTGTCCCCTATTTGTTTTAGTTCACTTTTTCGATAAATCGTCTGTCACCAGACTCGGCTGATCGCTTCGATTTCCAACATGGATATTTGTTCGCCCTTCTTTAAACATTCGACACCAATTTCTAACATTCCATCAGTCAAAACATCTGGCCCTTAAACCTCAGTGAGTTGCCTGTGAATTTCCACGACACTGCGACACAGCATCAAACAAGATTTCGACATTTAAAAAATTAGCACCCAGCTAGTTAATGAACCACATAAACAGACTGCTTATGCACATTTACCTTTTCCATCTTTGTTTGTTGCTGCGGTCAAAACGGGACTTACTTTAAAAACGCTCCGTTAATTGTTGATTCTTCCACAGCAGCTCAGTTAGAGAACACCTGTGTCTTCTTACACTTGTATCTATGGTTTAAAAAAAAAAAAAAAAAAAAAAAAAAAAAGAAGGATTTCTTGACCTTGGCGCACACATAATTATAGTTTAAGATGCGAATCAGAATCATTCTTGCTTATCAACATAGACCATGATGATAATAAGTTCCCTAGTTCATTACTATTGCCTAATACTTCCTTATTTTAATGCTGATCATTTCATTTTCATATCCAGTATTTGACGTCCAACGAGAAAGCGCTGGTGACGTTCCTAAGCCAAAAGAACCTGTCTAAAGCCAGTTTAAGCTTCAAGAAGACGGACTCGGTTTTTGATATGGAGATGCAGGCGTGGGCCAGAGATAACGCTGCAGACGAAAGGCTCAGCCTTTCAAAAACATCAGCATCATCTATAGGTCACATGTCCAGTACAGCTCCTACTTCCATCGCTGGGAAAAGGCGCATAACAATAAGCGAAGCAGAGGAACGGAGAAGACGAAAGAGGTACTCTGGGGCTTCTGGCGTGGATGATTACGATAGCAGTAGCAGATCTAGCAGCAGACGGAGGGCTCGAAAGTATACGGTGGATGAGGATGGTGAGCTTAGTGGTTACGGATCTAGAGGGAGGTCAGGCAGAGCGTCTAGACAAGGGCAAGGAACATGGCAGGGAACAGGGCAAGGAACAGGACAAGGAACAGGGCAAGTTAGAAAGTCAAAGTCAAGAAAAGGAAAGGCGACAGGTATTGAGTCGGAGGATGATCGTTTCGATACGTTCGCGGATACCTATGGCGCAGAAGCTAAACTCAGATATGGATTTGAGGTGACTCCAGTTCGATGCACGTGGTACCTAGCAGAGCCCAATATTCTGGTCTGTGTGCACCCAGTTTTGGGAGAGATCCGAGCTACTATTCCTACCAGAACGCCGTTATCAAGTAAGTTAAGACATTTTCCTCATTTGCATATTCATCACTGTTACTGCTATTACAATGACCTTTATACACTCATCCTCGCAAACTTCATTATCCTTACTTGCATTATCATCAGTATCAGCGTCATCGTTACTACCACAATCATCTTTCAAATCATTATAATTTTTACTATCGTAATCAATGTCATCGTCATTGTTACTACCACAATCATCTTTCAAATCATTATAATTTTTACTATCGTAATCAATGTCATCGTCATTGTTACTACCACAATCATCTTTCAAATCATTATAATTTTTACCATCGTAATCAATGTCATCGTCATTGTTAATACCACAATCATCTTTCTAATCATTATAATTTTTACTATCGTAATCAATGTCATCGTCATTGTTACTACCACAATCATCTTTCAAATCATTATAATTTTTACCATCGTAATCAATGTCATCGTCATTGTTACTACCACAATCATCTTTAAAATCATTACAATTTTTACTATCGTAATCAATGTCATCGTCATTGTTACTACCACAATCATCTTTCAAATCATTACAATTTTTACTATTGTAATCAATGTTATCGTCATCGTTACTACCACAATCATCTTTCAAATCATTACAATTGTTACTATCGTAATCAATGTCATCGTCATTGTTACTACCACAATCATCTTTCAAATCATTACAATTTTTACTATCGTAATCAATGTCATCGTCATTGTTACTACCACAATCATCTTTCAAATCATTACAATTTTTACTATTGTAATCAATGTTATCGTCATCGTTACTACCACAATCATCTTTCAAATCATTACAATTGTTACTATCGTAATCAATGTCATCGTCATTGTTACTACCACAATCATCTTTCAAATCATTACAATTTTTACCATCGTAATTAATGTTATCGTCATTGTTACTACCACAATCATCTTTAAAATCATTACAATTTTTACCATCGTAATCAATGTCATCGTCATTGTTACTACCACAATCATCTTTCAAATCATTATAATTTTTACCATCGTAATCAATGTTATCGTCATTAATATGTGGGCACTTAGCAACTCTGAGCCTCTGAAAAGAAACGGATTAAACACAAATGTTGACAACAATGGTCCTGAAATCCCATGCTATCATTGTGGCAGACCTTTCTTGACACGGGCGGGTCTTGCTAGTCATACTCGCCATCGCCATGGGCTGTGAGTCTCATGCCTCCTCATAGCGCAATATAACACTATCGTCTGGAAAGACGGAAAGGTGCAAATGAATGATTAGCAACACTGTATAAACCATCTCAGTCTGGAGACAACAGTGCAGTGGGGGAGAGACCAGGGGGGGGGGGGGTCTAGCCGGAGCCCAGTAGTCAGTGGAAAGACTAGATTACTTATAGGTACCATCAGAAATAGAACACTGCTTTTGCTGCTGAAGATGGAGACTGTATTTATTGAAACGTCACAAATATACTGTGATGTTTCCTTCTAACTCAACGCCATCCTATAGAATTTTAAATAGGTAGTGATATAACACAGCACATGGGCAGTAGGTGAGTCTTTGTCTTGGGTGGTAATATTTTCTCTGTGAAGTTGATGTATTTCATTATTAACTGACTCTGAACCAGCCTGCAGAGAAAGTAACGAACCCCTCCGTGGCTGAATCAAATTAATGGCTCTACCCCTACGCGGCTGAATAACATCAATGTCTCTAGTACCCCTTCGTGGCTGAATCACATCATTGGCTCTACCCCTCCGCGGCTGAATAACATCAATGTCTACTACCCCTTCGTAGATGAATCACAGCCATGTCTCTACCTTCCGCGGCTGAATCACATCAACGTCTCTACCCCTCCGAGGATGAATCACAGCCATGTATCTACCCTCCGCGGCTGAATCACATCAATGTCTCTACCCTTTTTTGGCTGAATCACATCATTGGCTCTACCCCTCCGCGGCTGAATCACAGTCCATGTCTCTACCCCTCCGCGGCTGAATCACACCAGTATCGCTTCGTACCAGATGGGATATTGACCAGCAATGGAAAACATGCTTGTGAACTTAGCATCAAATATCATATGAGGCCCTAAACTGGTAGACAGCATTTGGAAGTCGCATTTAACCTCCATCGCTTGGATCTATACGGCTAAGTCGGAGTAAAACCTGACAAATACAACACCACTGTGTGCGCACATGCACGGACAGCATCAATGCTATACGGACGAGGTTTTCGCGTAATGACTGATCTCTGACGCTAAGATAATTGCATGACCTCAGAGTGAAGCCTGGTAAAGCAGGTCAGTGCTTTCTTCGAGGTCAGAATATTAGACACTGCAACCAACAGAAGTACCCTGGTGGTGGCTGCCTCATTGGAGGACTGAGATCCTATGTGAATGCCCAATGATCATGTGACGTCGACTGCAATAACAACATCCATTTCAGGCGGATGGCTACTGCTGATCTGGATTTCCCGGTAGGACAAAATGAAAATGAGTACCAGAAATTGTTCTGGGATGTAAAAATAATGTGGGATACTGGTTAGACTTTAAAAATATGCTTTAAAAACATACTCACTGAGCTGTGGAATTGGCTCAATCGTTTTCAGAAGAAGAAACAATAGAAAGAAATATATATCTATCTTGTTCACTTCACTCAGAAGAGGTACAATGAGGTTGCTGCTGCATCAGAGAACTCAGCACCCGTTGGAATGTTTACAGTGCAATTACGTCGATCGTAAAAACAAAACATAACATAGTCCTAGATTCACTGATTGTCACCCTAGTCCTAGATTCACTGACTGCCACCATAGTCCTAGATTCACTGACTGCCACCCTAGTCCTAGATTCACTGATTGCCACCCTAGTCCTAGATTCACTTATTGACACCCTAGTCCTAGATTCACTGATTGTCACCCTAGTCCTAGATTCACTGATTGCCACCCTAGTCCTAGATTCACTGATTGACAGCCTAGTGCTAGATTCACTGATTAACACCCTAGTCCTAGATTCACTGATTGCCACCCTAGTCCTAGATTCACTGATTGCCAACCTAGTCCTAGAATCACTGATTGACACCCTAGTCCTAGATTCACTGATTGCCACCCTAGTCCTAGATTCACTAATTGCCACCCTAGTCCTAGATTCACTGATTGCCACCCTAGTCCTAGATTCACTGACTGTCACCCTAGTCCTAGATTCACTGACTGTCACCCTAGTCCTAGATTCACTGATTGCCACACTAGTCCTAGATTCAGTTATTGACACCCTAGTCCTAGATTCACCGATTGTTACCCTAGTCCTAGATTCACTGATTGCCCCCCTAGTCCTAGATTCACTGATTGACACCCTAGTGCTAGATTCACTGATTAACACCCTAGTCCTAGATTCACCGAGACATGGTGATACAAACGGTGAGGGACAACGAAAACGAGGTTCGGGTCCAGAAAGCAGCCCAGCAGTCGCAGCAGGGCCATTGGGTCAGCCTGGAGAGCGCATTGCCAAGAATACTCACATGGGGTGAGATCTGGCGAATGACCCCGCTGCGACTGAGCTTTATCGTTCGTTCGGCGTACGATGTATTACCGTCCGGTGTTAACATGGTTAAATGGTCTGCGACCAACGATCCGACTTGCCCGTTGTGCAAATCAAAGCAAACTCTTGAGCACGTCCTGTCCGCGTGCAGGAAAGCCCTAGGTCAAGGCCGATATACCTGGCGCCACAACAAGGTGCTAAAGGAGTTAGCAGCCGTTGTCGACCAGGCTAGAATGAGGGCTAACGCCAGAGCCAGTTCTAGTATCGTCCCCATTCGTTTCCTCAAGGCTGGGCAGGTTCCAACTGGTAAGGTCAACAAAAACGCATTCGCTCCATCTGTGCTAGACTCTGCGAGGGACTGGTTACTGGCGGTTGATCTGCCAGGCCATGAACGGTACCCCGAGTTGATCCGTAAAACCGGCCTGCGACCGGACATCGTTCTCCATTCTGCGCAAAAACGGCAACTCATCCTGATTGAGTTGACTGTCCCGTTTGAGTCGCGTATGGAGGAGAATCATTTGTACAAGCTCGAGGAGTACAGTGATTTAGCAGCCGGTTTGAGGAGAAACGAGGCTTACACAGTACGGGTATTTGCCGTCGAAGTGGGAGCGAGAGGCCTCGTTTCCACTTCGCTCTACAATGTGGTGAAAGAATTAGGATTGCGCGGTAATGAACGGAAACGAACACTCAAAAAACTGGGAGAGGTGGCCGAAAGGGCCTCTAGCTGGCTTTGGACGCAGCGCAACAACGTAGGGGACGGGCCTCGGTGAGCTGGTCCGGGTATCTAGTGGAAAAGAGTTTCTCATCCCTTTGAAAGTCCATCGTGTCCGATTTGTCTGCCAGGGTTCCTCTGCCAACTGCTAATAAAAGTCCAACATGTGTCCGGTAAACCAAAATAAGCTTGTCGCTCGGTCGTCCAGGCACGCTGACTGTTCTAATTAAGCTGCCGTGGCGGCTTCTGATCTCACAGTACCTCCTTCGAAACCACCAAGTCGTCTTGTCTCTGGCCGAAATAATAACACCATCCGGTAATTCTGTGCAGCGGGGAACCAGCCCTGAGCTTCATGAACTCAGGTGGGCCCACCTCCGAATACGTTTAGGAATCGTGGGCCGAAACGTGTGTCGACAGAGGATAATTTCTACTGATGACTGGTAGATCCCCGCTGTACTTGCTCCCTGTGAGTTTATTCCTATCTTGCCACTCTAGTCCTAGATTAACTAATTGTCACTCTAGTCCTAGATTCACTAATTGCCATTGAAGGAGATTATGGGTTACACACAAACCGACCGTCGAGGCCTAGGGCACGGGAAGGTCAATTGGTGGTCGAAGGCCTCAGCCAAAGAGCGCCGAGACATGGTGATACAAACGGTGAGGGACAACGAAAACGAGGTTTGGGTCCAGAAAGCAGCCCAGCAGTCGCAGCAGGGCCATTGGGTCAGCCTGGAGAGCGCATTGCCAAGAATACTCACATGGGGTGAGATCTGGCGATTGACCCCGCTGCGACTGAGCTTTATCGTTCGTTCGGCGTACGATGTATTACCGTCCGGTGTTAACATGGTTAAATGGTCTGCGACCAACGATCCGACTTGCCCGTTGTGCAAATCAAAGCAAACTCTTGAGCACGTCCTGTCCGCGTGCAGGAAAGCCCTAGGTCAAGGCCGATATACCTGGCGCCACAACAAGGTGCTAAAGGAGTTAGCAGCCGTTGTCGACCAGGCTAGAATGAGGGCTAACGCCAGAGCCAGTTCTAGTAACGTCCCCATTCGTTTCCTCAAGGCTGGGCAGGTTCCAACTGGTAAGGTCAACAAAAACGCATTCGCTCCATCTGTGCTAGACTCTGCGAGGGACTGGTTACTGGCGGTTGATCTGCCAGGCCATGAACGGTACCCCGAGTTGATCCGTAAAACCGGCCTGCGACCGGACATCGTTCTCCATTCTGCGCAAAAACGGCAACTCATCCTGATTGAGTTGACTGTCCCGTTTGAGTCGCGTATGGAGGAGAATCATTTGTACAAGCTCGAGAATTACAGTGATTTAGCAGCCGGTTTGAGGAGAAACGAGGATTTACACAGTACGGTATTTTGCCGTCGAAGTGGGAGCGAGAGGCCTCGTTTTCCACTTCGCTCTACAATGTGGTGAAAGAATTAGGATTGCGCGGTAATGAACGGAAACGAACACACTCAAAAAACTGGGAGAGGTGGCCGAAAGGGCCTCTAGCTGGCTTTGGACGCAGCGCAACAACGTAGGGACGGGCCTCGGTGAGCTGGTCCGGGTATCTAGTGGAAAAGAGTTTCTCATCCCTTTGAAAGTTCCATCGAGTCCGATTTTCTGCCAGTGTTCCTCTGCCAACTGCTAATAAAAGTCCAACATGTGTCCGGTAAACCAATTGTCAAGCTTGTCGCTCGCTCCCCGGTCGTCCAGGCACGCTGACTGTTCTAATTAAGCTGCCGTGGCGGCTTCTGATCTCACAGTACCTCCTTCGAAACCCACAAGTCGTCTTGTCTCTGGCCGAAATAATAACACCATCCGGTAATTCTGTGCAGCGGGGAACCAGCCCTGAGCTTCATGAACTCAGGTGGGCCAATCTCCGAATACGTTTAGGAATCGTGGGCCGAAACGTGTGTCGACAGAGGATAATTTCTACTGATGACTGGTAGATCCCCGCTGTACTTGCTCCCTGTGAGTTTATTCCTACTTGCCACTCTAGTCCTAGATTCACTAATTGTCACTCTAGTCCTAGATTCACTAATTGCCATCCTAGTCCTAGATTCACTAATTGCCACCCTAGATCTATATTCACTAATTGCCATCCTAGACAGTCCCAGATTCACTAATTGCCACTCTAGTCCTAGATTTACTAATTGCCACGCTAGTCCTAGATTCACTAATTGCCACCCTAGTCCTAGATTCACTAATTGCCACGCTAGTCCTAGATTCACTAATTGCCCCCCTAGTCCTAGATTCACTAATTGCCACCCTAGTCCTAGATTCACTGATTGCCACCCTAGTTCTAGATTCACTAATTGCCATCCTAGTCCTAGATTCACTGATTGCCACCCTAGTTCTAGATTCAATAATTGCCACCCTAGTCCTAGATTCACTAATTGCCACTTAAGTCCTAGATTCACTAATAGCCAACCTATTCTTAGATTTACTGATTGCCACCCTAGTCCTAGATTCACTAATTGCCACCCTAGTCCTAGATTCACTGATTGCCACCCTAGTCCTAGATTCACTAATTGCCACCCTAGTCCTAGATTCACTAATTGCCACCCTAGTCCTAGACTCACTAATTGCCACCCTAGTCCTAGATTCACTAATTGCCACCCTAGTCCTAGATTCACTGATTGCCACCCTAGTCCTAGACTCACTGATTGCCACCTTAGTCCTAGATTCACTGATTGCCACCATAGTCCATAGTTTCACTGACTGCCACCTTAGTCCTAGATTTACTGATTGCCACCCCAGTTAGCCAGACTTATTACCATGATAGACCCAGTTATTCTTTTAAGAGCCCTCATTATCTAGCAGGTAGTTTGCAGAACGTCGCTGACATCACGGTCTGCCTGAAGGAAACTCTGTCTCCCGCCTCGTGAAATTTCCTTCTCAAGGTGGCACTTATAACCTGTGCCCATCTTTGTACTGGTACACCCCTGCCACTCTTTTCTGATATCATGCCTTCTGCTATTAGTTTTTTTTTTCCAGTCCACCATGGCGCTTGATATAATAAAACATTTTCAGTTTCGAGACAAGGTAATGTTTACCAGCCAATATTAATTGAGGTTCATATCTTTTAGAATGTAATGTATTTCTTCTCTTCTTTGTCCGTGGTGTTATGATAATCTTTCTGTACTGGAAGCAAAGCAGAGGGGGTAACTTGTAATGGGGGAAAGAGAAGTAACTATAAAGGATAATATGGAAATCTAGTCCTTGAAATCTCCTCGACTACGAACCTACAAGAGTTCTAACAATGTCACGAAGTGTGTAGGAGCCAAAACCCAACCCTTTGTTGCCTCAGTAACAAAACAGAAAAAAAAAAAAAATAAAGAGAACAAGTTCGTTTAGGCGGGGGTAAGATAAAAAATATCTCACCCTGACATGAAATCTTCTGTGTGTGGTCTAATATAGCAGTAACAGTAAAACCTAGGCACACTGACTAAAATAACAAGAATGTAAGTCAACAAATACAGAAACTTTATTTACTTGATGACATAAAACAATAATACTTAATGCACACTCCGAACATTAAGTATACTAAAGAGGTCTCCACAGGGTCCGTCCGGAAGTCAAAATGATCGCTGAAAGACTAAACATAGTCCTCTTTACCCAGTGACCAGACTTTCCCCCATTATACTGTCTAAACTAAAAGCTGTTCCTGTGGCCTCTTGGTCATTTTTAAAACCAGATTAAATCACAATCGATGAGCTGCTGAACAGTAGTTTTCCAGCCTATTACATTTCTATAGCATTTCAGATCTCAAGATCCTTTTTTAATTTCATAAGGTCTGTAAGATAGTTCATGACTCACATACGTATGTTGACACATGGAAGAGGCGTGCTCTTATAGCATTAACTTATAATGTTAGGTCATTTCATTACAATGACCATCCTCCTTTTTACTTGTGTTAAATTTTCTCCATTACTTTTTATTGTGGAGCCTAGACATTCACAGTTTGTGACGTTTGCATTGTGGTCACCATTTATTGCTATAGTTGGGTAACAGCTACAAAAGCCTGCTAGATATTAATTGTCATCTACTGTGACCAGTCATGCGTGTCATTGGAAGCGACTGCCCAGAACTGACACTATATTGGCTTCCTCATCCCGTAAAATACCTGCAATATCTAAACAATCATAAGACAGTCTACAGAACAGGTTCCCAAATATATCTGGCTCTCCCCTTTTAACTAAAAGATATTTCACAGCGAAATCAAGAAAGAAGTGAATGAAAATAATTAATGAAATAGACTGAAGTCCTGAATTTGTACCTTTTTCGTTTTTTATTTTTGTTTAACTAAGTCAGAAAAACATTTGTATTTGACTATTAAATGGTTTTCAACAACTTTTCATTTTTGTTTTCATGCTGGTGAGTGTGAAAATGAAACCTTTAAGTTCACTTGTAATTTTTTTTTTTCCTGCAGACACTCCAGAATGGTGGGAGCAAAACCAATACAGATTTGAAGTAATGTACGACCACGAGATATACACTCATCCAAGCCCTCACTTCGATGATGACAAGTATCAGGACGTAATGATAGCGTGGGAAGATGAGGAAGTGCAGGAGGAAGAATACATGAAGGAGGGGGGCGAACATTATGCTGAAGATGTATAG